AAAATGTGCAACAATAAAACTTTTCGGTAAAAAGCCCTAGAGCATAAGGAATGCCACATTAGTGATGAATCAGTTAAATGGTTCGCCATTCCACACCCATATACAATGGGAGTTGTATCATGTGCCAAACAAAGGTGAAACCAATACAAAAAACTCACTTTCTGGTGATTTCAAAAACTCTGGTGAACTTGTGCAATTATGGTGCTGAACATTACTCGACTCCAGAGAAGACATACTAACTCGTTAACAGAGTGTAGTTTTGGATGATGCGCTGATTAGCTTACTCAGTAAAACAAAATGAATTTCAATAAATAATAGGCAGCTTTGGAAGCAGGTAAAAAAACCAGGTCTTATAAAAAACAAGATCTGTAAAGTATGCACAACTCGTGATCATTTTTTACCACTCCACAAGTAGAACACGATAATCAATACATAATATTACGTATAGCAAACCTGATAATATTATAAACCTGGACACATAAAATTAATAAGCTATGTCAGGTAAAATCCGTCGAAACTAACGGTTTATAGAATATGATAGTGTTAGTAAATTAGTTGTTCACTTTCAGAATTTTTCTGAAATGTTTGTCCACTTAATCCGTATTTTCGTAGTAATATATTAAGCTATAACGTGCAAACTACACAGTTGCAAAAACCTGATATTATCTAATTTTCAATTAACACTCGGCCATTAAAAATCTGAGGGAATTATAAAAAAGACTTCATCTACTTGTAGCACTTCAGTACACGAGGACATCCGTTAGCTTCTCAGTAGTCGTGTAATAATTAAGCGATATAACGGACATTCAATACCAATTTAAATCATGTTGGTTGTACCAACTTTTTCATATTCGGTCAATCATTATATCCATATCCAGTCACGTGGTATGAGACTTCGATGTCACTCCAGACATGTTGCATCGTAATTTCCTGGTGAAATTGGTTCCTAATCACGTGGTCGTTAAGGCTGAACATGCATCTCTGTCTGCATCGAATTTCACTTTTTCCTTTCAATTCTTACCGATTCCTTCCGTGTTTTTTAAATGTATAAGATTATCCGACAAAACCGACGTCCAACTCAATCGCACCTAGAGCATTTTCTTTCATACTCACTAACTTATTGACTCAGTTGTTCAGTCATGAAGTGAGTACAATGACAATCTCTCAACTACCTTTAAAAGGTTACACAACGTCGAATCTCGTTACCGGACGTCTTCCCGAATTCTTCGCTTACGATTAGCAGTGGATGAGCAGAGTTTTGTTGTATCTACTGACGACATAATGCTAGAGTTTGTTACCAGTCCATCATCTTACCATAACTGCTCACTACCTAACATACTCGGATTACATGTCAATATTCATAAACCAAGAAAAACCATGAGGACCCCGATTTCGTTCACACAGTCTGAATCCAACTAGACATAAAAAATACCCTCAAATCTATTTTCATTTCTTACGTCTATATAACGTTCATCTTCATTTGGTGGGTTTAAAAATTCCATCATGTATTTTCGTGTTGTATGTGAGAAAACTATCATGCTTACTTTCGTTAAATGGAAATTTTTTCGTTTCGCCTTTTTAGTTAAGATGTTACTTCTATCGCTATCTGTATGCAGCTATATTTCTCCTTAGCCATACGTTCGTTTATAATGATGGGCAGCTTCCAAAACGTGATAAGCTCCTTTATATCGTAAAGGATGTTACAACTACTTTAGCTTTGTTGGACTTCATACTCTCAGTTCTGTATGGTACCATATTGAGCGGTTGTACTCTCGTATAATATTGGTTGACTTGATTGACCAGACCCACTCCTAGTGGATAGAGATGTTATTTACTGTAGGCTAACAAAGCTTGCTTTTTTGTATTTCCAACTTCGCTTTTTTGAGCTGTTTGATCAGTGAGTCTTTTCCATTTTTCAGGCAATATGACTGTTTCTGAGTAGTTTGAAACACGATTACTAGTTTGTTAATGATCAGTGTCCATTCCTAATGTTTTGGTGGCTTACTGTTCTGTAGTCAACCTCCCAAATCTGTTCAGTTTTGATATATTTACTTAATTGAAGGTAAAGGCCAAGGTCACTGATATTGCAGCTGATTTTCAAAATTACGGAATTTCATACACAAATGCATTATACGTTGACGAATGGTCGAAAGTAGACTGACGAACCTACTGTCTTTGAGATATATTTTGTACTTGTTTTTCATCAATTGTAATAAGTGGCCGCTAACGGTGCTTTAAACATGACCAATTGTGCAGGGTTATTTTCATTTAAGCCATCGTACGATTTTAAAAAGGCTTAACACATTATAATACCGCGCATTTTGATAGCTCAAATTTGAATTTCAACGAAGGATAGTTCTTTATCATCTAAAAGAGCCTCTAAATATTCTGGTTATCATTCGCGATGTAGTAGGTTCGATGTCGGTCGCTCCTTAACGGAAATCTAGATCAGTGGAAGAATGGTCTAAAGAGTTGTCAAACCTCCGATTTCTTTGTGATGTTGGTTTCGAACAACATGATTCTCTTGTCTGAACATATTGATTGGCACTTAACACGAACCACTTGAAGGAGTCCGGTAATGGTGAACGCGGTAACAATCAATAGATAAATTGAAGTGGCATGGCTCGGCCATAAATTTATGGTTACTCTATGTAAAAACTGTTGCATTTTGAGTTGAAAATTCTACTCTCCATCCATCCCAAATATGTTACTCAGAAACGCTTGACGTAATATTGCTGACTCCTTTGGTAGGACGGGTCAGTGTGGACGATGATGTGACCACCATGTGAGATCTTATAAATCAGGTCTACACATCATAACGTATCTCCTTTTTGGGATTAGGTTCATGATTATACCACCAGAGATAGTAGTCCTGTGGTGCGTGCTACTTATATTGATATAAGTAGTATATAACGTGAGTCAAAAGAACGTAACGTCTGGCAGCAGAAGATGGAGAAGATCAAGAAAAGAAGAGCGAGAAAACGATGGAATTTGTAAGAAATCGCATGAACAATCAAATGCGAGACAATGGATTGAGGTTTGCAAAAGCAACAGTCCAGTTTGATATGATAGAATAATATTTTGCAAATTAACGATTTACTATATGGTTTTTCTATTTTACCAAGTAATTCTGTAATTTGTCCTAAATACAATTTGGTTGTCCTCACCCGTGTTCTCCTTCACTACAGTACTATTAGTCCGCAACTTCTCTGATTTTCCAGCACGCAAATAAAATGTATTCAGATAATCTTAGTTGCTAATTTGGCGATACATACATGGTCGCTTATTCTTGTTCTGTGCTCATAAACACGCTCATTAAAGTATTTGCGTATTTCACGTTCCCTTTATTTCTATCGCCTTATTTTCTCCCTTTCCTTCCTTGAATTCAATTCAATATTCTTCCCAATTACACAGAACCTGATTTATTATTGTTATTATTCTATTATCATCATTATCCTCTTTCTCGTTTTCAAATATGGTAAATATGACGTCAACATTATTGAACCTTATATATTATTGCATTGTCGAAGTGACCCGAAAAGTTTTCTTTACAAAACTTATGTACCCATACGATGCTTGTGAATAATGATAGCGATTGGTGATAATGCAACGGCGAAGAGGCAGCAAACACACTAGAAAAGCAGTGGAAGGGTGTGTTCTTTGAGTGATAAAAGTCCGCATATATTTATGGGTGTTAATCGATGTGGATATAGTATTAACTGTTTGTGTTGACAACAAATAAGAGAATAGATAAAGATTGACGTGCAGACAATTTTACATATTGGATAAAATGTCTAAATTACTGCGAGCAGACAAATAATAAAATGGTTGAATGATTTACTACAAACTATCCTCTTAATTACAAGTATTATTAAAAAACGGAGCCCAAATTTCTTCATCATTAGGAATCAGAATTTTCGGGTCACGCGCTTTGTTGATACTCTTTATAGTAAACTAGCGATTAAGTTTGATTATTACGCCAATAGCCTCTCTACGATAACAATTTATTTCATTTATTTAACCGTGGAGAGCATACTAATATGATGTGCAGTGCGAGGACATGTCCCTATATGCTTCTTAGCTACTTTTCACAGTTACACAACCCATATAATATTCAAGAATTGTTTCGTCAGTTCATTTTTTGTGCGTTTAACACTTCAAAAGCTTTCTTCCGACTACCACGGGACATCATTTTCAGTGTAAATGATTGTTTCAATCCATTCTCCCAAAATACTTTGATTTAATTCATGTGGATGCTAGAAATTAAAACTGTTCTCTCGTAACTTCTTTCTGTAGATGTGATGCAACACATGTGTTAAGTCTCACTGTGATGCAGAAAACACCTGACACGGTTGTATCGTTTATGATTTCTCATTAACAGATTCTTCCCAATAGCTTCCACTGCCTTTATTGGGTTTTGACGATGAGTTTCAAATCGTTGCCTATTCTAAATGATATTTAAGCGAAATTTGAGTGACATGCTGAATTTTGAAAATGTCGTCCACAAAGCATTGTCATTCATTTTTATATTCACTCAATAAACTTAACACATTCTTGTCAGATATACAGTGTTTGATAACTAATGTAGAAAGACATTTTTGAACATTTATCTTAACAGTGTGTCTAATTATACCCATGATCTGAAAACTGAAACTGTTTCTTTACATCAGAAGCTCATATAAACCAAACTGTCATTTTTATTTATTCTGAACCATCGCCTAGGATTATTCTGGTCACGGAGTCTTCACGAGACATAACATTGTTCCATGAATCTTGATGCACTAATACTGAGAGTTCTTGGTCATGATCATTGGAATATGGCTTTAAAAATAGCTAGGGCAGATTAAGCACCATATGTTTCTCCTAGTAAATGGACACTAATCCGCTCACTTTCAGGTCAAATAAACCAATTAATAGATAATTTCCTGATACTGCTGCATTTTAACCTTCACTGATGACGAAAAAATATCCAACTCCTGAATTTTCAAAATAGCTTTGGCGTTAGATTTGTTTTTACTTATCAAGTGTGATTACAGCCTACAACCTTGACAACTTTGCTTAGTTTGAATACACTTTGAAATGATTATTGTTTTCTGAATTTCTAAGTGTCGTTATGCATACTGTAGAGTCAATAATAGTTTCTCCAAGATACACAAGAAACATTTCAAACGAAAGTGAATTGTATTTCAATTCTAATTGTCAGAGGAACAAGTATCCAGCTATCTCTAAATGTCGTGATCAATATTACGCAGATAGAGTTAGTTATATTTCCTATTCCCCTCATCAGCGTAACAACAGGAACTTGAGTCGCACGAATGTAACTTCAGTCAGTCGACGCAACACACAAATATATGACGACTCATCTTTATTATGTAATCCACGTAGTTTCGTTAACTCTGACTTATCTTTTTCTTGTAATCATCCACAAAGAGGAAATTCTTTCAACTGTTCTCAAAATTATGGAGGTTACCCACTGTCTGGAAGGCCAAGAATATCTAACCAAACTTCAAAAAGTTATTTAAGTCCCTCCATTTTAAATTTGAGCAGTGGAACCTGTAACAGGTCACTTCGCGATTTGCGCAAATCTCCGGAAAGACATATTAGTACCAGTAGATACCCTTATTTCACGAATAAATCACCGAAAGCGAGAAATGACTTCAAGCCGTTTACGTACTTGAAAAACATTGAGAGAGATCATGATATTCAAAGACAGTATTTATTTGGAAGTGTAAAACCTCGTGACTGTGGAATCGAATACGATCTTTTATCATCACAGCCCTTGGAAATGAACCAATACACCCTTCCTTTAGAATCGGCTAAGGGAGGAAGTTTAATGCTAGAGAATAAAAAGGAATTCAGTCTGAATACATTCAATCCAACTGATCACGATTCTTCCTCTGTTATTCATGTCAGACCTCATCGTATGCGAAAAACTATTGACATAAAACAGAATGACAAAGCTCTTGACGATCCTTCGCATAAGCGTCTGTCGAAATGTCTCCAGCCAAAACCTAGGACATCTTACGATGGTTCTTGTTGTATGTCAGGTACTCTTGCCGTCACTTTGTATGGATCGAAACTCACCGAATACGAACGTAATGAAATTCAAGATTATGCTGAGGTATATTTCCTAGGGCTTAACGCCCCCAAAAGACATCCACTTGGAAACTCCATCAGTGATGCGTCATACAAGAGAAGTAGCATTATTTCGATTAGTAATGTGACTGGGTTCGACGATGCACAAAGCAGTTATATTCTCGTCCCTAATGATCATTTAGCTTATCGATATGAAGTTCTCAAACCCCTGGGCAAAGGAAGCTTTGGTCATGTTGTCCACGCAGTTGACCATTGTACAAAGAAGCAAGTTGCAATAAAAATTGTCAAGAGTGAAGCTAGATTTACTAGACAAGCTGTTGAGGAGATCCGCATTCTCAAAGCCCTCAACGGGCAACAAAATGATGGAGAGTTTAATGTTGTACACCTAGTGGACCACTTCATATTTCGAGGTCATGTGTGCATGGTGTTTGAATTACTTTACATAAATTTATATGAACTCATCTGCCGTAACAATTTTAAAGGATTTTCTCAGTCTTTAGTGAGAAAACTTACTTATGGTATACTATGTTGTCTTGAACTTCTATATCGGTGAGTATTTTCATAGAGGTTTTTCTGTTTGTACGCTGTGTCACTTTAGAATTTAAAATGCAGTGTTTCTGAGGTACCACGTGGTTGTAAAAATCATATGAGCGTTCCTAATTTTATTTAATCAGTGACCTCTTATGTCCGTCGAGTAGAAACGTCGTGATGCTGTATCGGTGTCTTGCGTAGGAGTACCTTAATAACTGATGATTTTTGACTGTAGTTAACAGCTTCATACTTGGTTTCTTTGACGTAAATCATGGCAGTGAGTTTCAAATTAAAGCCCGTTAATTTGAAATGCCTATATCAGCCAAGTATTAAATTTTTCGCAGTATCAGTCTAACAAGCTTATGATAGTTCAACTTTATATATCGTAATGTATCATCTGCTTTGTTGAGTGCACATATTGTCTTGGTGTAAGGATACTTCCATTCTTCAGTAAATTTGTGGCCTAAATGTTCAAAATAAGTCAACGTATGTTGTACCTTGCTCAATAATCACTATATTATTGTTGAATCCTAGAGTTACTACAGTCAGCTAATACTTTATCAGTAACTGATCCCTATAAAAATCCTTGAAAGGTTGATACAACTGTTTTACAATATACCCCAAAAACCGCATACCAGTTTCTCCCAGGAGTTGAGAAATCATTGAGAAACAAGAAATGAGGTTTTATTTGTAATACGTTGTATTTAAAATGGAGACAGTTAATAGAAGCAGAATCTACGATGGAGCAACCCGTTAAGTTTGTTTCAAATAAGTCAGGTACATAGCCAAAATATTTCGAATAATGTACTCCAAGTTCGACACCAAAACTTTTGAATAGATAAAGTTTTTGAGTAGTTTTAACAAACAATTACACATTAGCGCTTGAAAAGAAACGTAAAATTTTGAGTTTTAATCCACACAGTTCTTATGTGAAGTTTAATTCTTTTATAATTTGTTCAAAACATCTGAAAACGTCCAGCACGAGCATTATAACTTTACCTTGACGAACTTTGTGTTTATGTTATTTACTTTGTTCAGATTTTTCGTCTTGACAGACATAGAAAGAAACTGAAAGAATACATAAAAAGTGTGCTTTATAAAAATATGTTCACTATATTTTAAAAAATCAAGCCAATAAACGAAATCTATCGACTTTAACCTTGTTTAAGACTATGATGAGTCTCGTCATTATTCGGTTTAAAGAGGATTTGACAGTAACTAATATTTATATCAAAATCTAAATATCAGTTAGTGTTAACCACACTTTGTTAAAATCCATCTTAAAGGGAATTTACGTCAAAATGTTACATCTCTAAAAGCGTTTTAAATAAAAAAGTGTTTCTCTGTTTCCGAGAGGTTATACACCTACTTGTTGATGTGGCTACTAGAACAACAAAATATTAAGGATTGAATCTGTATCACAACACTATATCTAAATTTATTTATGAGGTAAACCAATGCTAGGGCTTCTTCGATGAAAAGAATATTCGTATAATTAGCAAACAAAAGTTAATGGAAATTACGTCAATAGTCACGTCTTACAAACTGAGTTCATATATTTGTCGTGACATTTAGTTGTTTTGGTAGGACAAAATTTATGAGTAGGTTCCCACTAGGGTAAAAACTAATACTTCATTAATTTGTATGCTTATACTATTAAAATACTCATTCACCGGAATAAAGAAAGAATAATCTATTATGTTCGAGATCAATTTTTTAGAAAACGGATATCTGTAAGGCTTTATCAGGGAATATGAGCAATAAGAATAATTTTCAGAGGGTAAATGCTTATTTTTAAAGGAAATAGTTCACAGGAAATTTAAATTTAGATGTTTTGTTCATCATGCATTTTCAAGCTGCCTGAAGCAGTCACTGTGAATTACATTTCATGCAACAAACTTTGATATAACCCACGGCAGGTTATCTGTTATATGACTTTATATGAAAACTCTACAAATTAAGTTAAATTACTTCATCTGTCTTTGCACATTTGTTTGTGCAAACAGTCCTCTATAACCTCTTTTTCACTGAATTCGGACGAATTTTTTAACGTGTATTAGTGAGAGAATAGCACAGATACATTAATTTTACTATCCTGGACCATGTAATATATTCAGGATACTTAATTATAGATTGTTAGTTACACGGTACACATATGACACGTATTTGAAAAGCCTTACCCTGAAGCCACTTTACACTGAAGTCTTTAATCAAGCACAATTTGAAACAATATATTTGTGTACAAAAGTAATTTTCTTGGTCTCTCTTTTCACCATAGCTGTAAATTTAGCATAATTCGATCTTATGCAATGTTTAAAAAAGTGTTTTTGGTTTTCATCTTACTCTAAAGCAAAAAATAACTATTTTTCTTTTTATACACATAATGTATTAATTTTCAGATTGTACGCCGCTAAAATTGTCTTATATACTCAAGTGATTGAATATTTTCCACTCTTTAGAGCTGCCTGCTCATAGCTTTTCAAATTATTTTTGTAGTACAACTTGCTACGCTAGCATTATAACAGTTGCGTAGGTGGGCCTTAGATAAATTTAATACAGGATTGTTTAGCTTTAAGAAGTGACTCTTTACGACAAACCCATTTCATTAAGATACTTGTCTGACTGTGTTGAAAACTGACTAATTATGTTAATCGAAATCGAAAGTCTTTAGATATGAGAATTTGATGAGTCATAGAGACAAAACGGAAGCATTTGGCGTGGTGATAGCCGATTAACAGCATAGTACGATTCTCGGTTTCGAAAGGTTTTAGAGCATAAGGATTATGAAGGAGGTCTAGACCTTCCGTTATCTGATCCCATAGTTCGGCTCCTCAAGTTATATAGTTTCCATTTGAAAGTGTCTGAATTGGATGCTGGATGTTCTAACCGAATCTAAAACATAATTTCTCTTCATCATGTTTATAGAGGGGAAAATTTGCATCCATTTGACTTTACTGTTATTGAGGCCGAAATTTTCAATAAACAACCTTTTTGGGGTTTTCTAGGGATTAAATGGTAATTAATTACATATTTTAAATATTTTGTCTTTAAACCCTTAAGAAGTGATTATTCAGTGTCTTTACACTGGCTAAAAGTCCATAAAAGGTCGAGAGATTACAAAAATCTTATTGTGTAAAGTTTAATTTCAGTCGAAAAAGACAAACTTCAATGAATGTTCACTGAAAACAAAGATATATATTTAAATATATTCAGATTTTCGTAGTAGTTTGTCTATTTTATTTTTAATAAGAACTTTTATTTTCTGAAATATTTTAAATACTTTATTTTATTTTATAAGTAGAAAAGCATAACACTAGCCATACACCAATTGATAGTTACTAATGATAAAGATATTCAGTGTAAAGGGAAAGAGTAAACGTAATTGATAACAATGTGAAAACTGTACATTGCTGATCCTTGGTCCATGAGATTCCCATCCAATAAGTGCCTTTTGTGCTTGTTTGGACAGCATATTTGTTCCATAAGGTCTTATTTAATTGTAAGAATAACTAAAATCACTTGCCACATAATAATGATAATAAAGTATTTATGAACAAGCGATTCGAAACAGTAAGACGGTAAAAGCTAATTAATAGGAGATTAAGACAATTAAAGCCTCAGTATGTATAAATCTGACACACATATTTATAAAACATCTTCGGTTCTGAATATCGACTCTATAATATTTGGTGAATGAATATGAATGGTCCTTTGTCAAATAATTAAATGTACAGTAACTGAAAATCAAGAGAATATTCAAAGTGATATCCTATATTCTGCTAAGATGGTTTATTATCGCTTTACTTTTCAACATCACGAACATCATTATAATGTATATTTAACCTGTAGAGAAAAGTTTACAAGTCATATTAGTCTTTAGTTATAACTGGTTTCATGATGAAAAAGATACGTGAAACATTTCTTGAATAATATTAAAAGGACTAAACATTTAATCAACATACAATACGACTTGAACGCGGTTTAAGTTTTGTCCTAAGATGTCTGTTTATTTTCAGAACAAAATGTCATAAAACCGTCTTTAGAAGTGTGATGATGTTTTATATATCTCTTGTAATAAATTTAGTAAGACAATTGTCATTTCTCACAGCGATTTTCTTTTTTTGTTTCAATTTTTTCCTTTAAGTGAGCAACTAATGTTTTGGTACATATTTGACTACCTTGAAATGTCTTGATTCTTATTAACTTCTACTTAAAATTAACATTAGGAAAAATGAGTGCACTGGATTTCTTCAATGGTTTATGATAAACCGAACATTTTATAGTTGTTTTTTTTTGTTAATTATTAGTGTAAACAGAAAATACTGAATTATCTATACACTGAAACGGATATGTATTACTTAAATGATGCTTTTACAAATTTAACCACTTAATATTGTGTATAGATAAATAGAATTTTACTAGATTTGGAATAGTTTCAAAAGTATTATATAGTTTGTTGATGCTATCAGATAGTGAATTGATATGATCTAACAGATTTGCTTGTTTTATTATCATATGTTCTACTTAAATAAACAATTACATGTAAATGATTTATAGTCCTATGTGTTTATAACTAATTACTATTAAAAGATTATGTTTGATTGATGAGTAATAATGAGTCACTATGTAGAAAACATGAGAACTGTATGTCTAGGGTTTAAATGATATTAAATTTATTCGTACATAGTACATGAATAGTAATAATGTATGTGTCAGTGTTGTTTTCAATAATGAACTGACATATTTTAACATTGAATCATTTAGAAAAGTTAAAGATAAGGTAAATGCTAATGTAACTTATTTGTTAAGTGCATGTTTATGTAATTGGCTTTAAGTTACACATTTTGTATGATGACTGCTTTGAAAGCAATAATTAGGAACTTTCTTTTATTATTTCAAGTTGAAATCACCTACTTTTTATATTTATTGATTTAAAGCAATTGACACCAGGTGAACATCTTTTATTTTCGTTGAAAGTCCAAAGGATTGGTTAAAATGTTTGAACGTTATATATATTT